TAAATATATACAGTAATAAACAAAATGTTGAATGCATTTTAATTCAGCAGTGTAAAATACAGAATATTTCCACACCATTTTGTACTTGATTTTATTCTTACATTTTGGTATGCTTTTTTTTATTTTTTATAAATACATGACTAGCACTCCTAAATGCCATTAAGCTTTTTATTGAAAAAAATAATTATTGCATTGAACTACACAGTCCAAGTAATTTGTTGAATAACCTAAAAAAGCTGATTTGCATGTACAATAGTGCAATTTACTTAGCCACAGTATAATAAAAAATGCTTTGAGCAGAGGATACAAAATAAAATTATTGGTTATGCATCATATTGCCATACTATCACCCAGTTTATGTTAAATACATTAAATAGAATCAATATGGTGGGAATTTGCTGTAAACAACTACACAACCAATTTACATTACCAACTATTTTATAATTTCTCACATATTGAAGGAACTGAGCATTTTGAATGGTGGATGAGAAACCTTTTCTTGAAGTTGATTGTTTTAATACGTGAATGTGTTTTGAAATCCACCCCCAAACAACTATTTTGAACAAAGATCAAGGTCTACAAATGAAGATTAAAGAGCGTGTTTATTAAGAACACACACACACACACACACACACACACACACACACACACTCATGTATGCACTCATACAAATTTTAATTTTCCTCATTTATTTTTATGCTTCTGACAAGATATTCTTGCTCTTGTTATTTAAGAAAAATGAGGGATTGCAAAAGGAGGAACTGACTTTTGAGAAAGGAATTAAGAAAGTGGATTGGGAGCTTTCCTTCACATACAAGGCTCCAAAGAATGAAAAAGACCTTTTAGCTTATCTTTGTAATATTCGTTTATTTGAAACCTAACCAATGAGCCATTGCTTCCATTTTAATACAGCTTAATCCCAAGAAATACAACAATCGCCTTCAAATGTCTACCTAATAGAAAAAGTGGATAATATTTTTGCTGGAATGAAGTGATAACCTTTGAAAATCCTCTAGACCCAGGCTTATTGGCAGGAAAACTCATATTTTAGCTGGAAACTCATCTTATTGAAGTGGTTTCAGTCTGGAACACAAAAGGCAATCATGTGTTTTCCTGACTATTGCATGGAATTGGTCACCCACTTGCTTTTTTAATAATGTTTCTATCTGCCAATAAGAGCACATTTCTCTTCAAGAGTTCATCTAATTTAAGAAATCAGAATTAAACCCTTTCATGAGGTGTACTGGGCCCGAGATAAGCACTTGGTCAATTTTGTGCCCAAGTTTATTACCTACATACACTGATGTGTGAGATTTGAGTCCTTTAAATCGTGGGGTTTTTTTTTAGAAAACTGGATCTGATCTTTATACATTTTTCTCCAGAATGTTTAATATTTTTTTTTTCTAAATATTTGTGGGGAATTTTTCAGAAAAGATTGAGAAATGTGCCACGGTTTGAGATGATCAGTATTGTTATTTCACCAATAGGGAGTCAGTTAATTATGGACACATCCTGGGGAGGGCATCTGAACATACTCTTCATGTGCATGTGGCATGGTGGAATAGAGCAGAGCCATCTCTGTGTCTCCAGTTACTGTTTCAGATTCTGGAGCGGCATGATGTTTCTGGAGCAGCTTCAGAGTATTATAATGAAATTCAGAAAACTGTGCTGCTGCCCCCTTTGGAAACTGTGTGAGTAAATGAGAATTTCATGTACTAAGGAGATAGATCCAGCAATATGATCCTGAGTAATTAGATTGATTAAATATTCCCTTTAATAATGAAGTTTCATAGGATTAGTTTCTTTCAATATATTTCTATTCAGTGATAACAAAAGGATTCCATTAAGTCCTGGAAGAGACTGAAGAACGAGTTACCGACATATTCACTTTCTGTAAGTGGAAAAGAAATTTTAGGGGATTATTCTGTGAAATGTCTACCTTAGGAAAAAGTCCTGGGAATCAGGAACTTTCTAAATCATCTTCTATATTCTAATCTTTCCTATATTTTATTATATGTATAACATTTATAAAGGTGAACTTAAAGAGAATTTTAAAATACAGTTTTTATAGCTCCCTTGTGTTTTTCTTGCTAAGTTTGACAGAGAATGATTAAGACGTTGAACTTTCCCAAGTTTTCAGTTCTTCATACAAAGCATTTAGTTGATCAACCATATCTAAATATCTAAACACACTGAGGCAGTTGCATGGTGGATAAATGTTTTTATAGCCTTTCTTTAGATTCTTTCAGTTTTAAACTGAGCATATATTAGTTTATCAAATACAAAAACTTCCCTCCATGAACTAAATATGAAAGAGTAATATCATAAGGAGAACTGTTCCCTAAGAATCACGCAATAGACAGAAAAAGAATTTCAATGTCTAAATCAACTATCAAATAATAGTATAAATAATAGTGTAAATGTAAATCGCGTAAATACTGTCAATGTATTCCATCACAGTGGAAATTTTAGGAAAAAGGAATCTATTTTAGAATTCAATACATATACACTTAGAATCCTTCGTCTCACTTTTTTCCCCTTAAGGCAAATTTAAAAATAAAATCTAGTGGTTGAGCTTCACCTATTTGGTGAAAGTCAGTTTTATAATAGTACCATTCCTGATGTGACATCACAACTTTATAGTTTCTCACCCTGCAGTACAAGTTACCTTTTATTTAAATGGAGAAGTCTGTTTCTATAGTCCAAGATAGAAGATCTAAGGAGCACTTTCATCACTGTTAGTATAAGATGAATTAGTAATTTCCAAGCCATAAATTCATATCAATTTATCTTTGCTAATCAAAACTAAGTGTCTAGTAGAGACAGGTTCTGTTTTAATCTTCTATGAGATTAAACTGTCACCAAGACAATTATCAAAATTAATCAGGTGCTTTGTCTTTTCCATATTACAGCTTCTAGAGAATTCCCATGATTACTCTATCTTGGTTTTGTATCAGCTTTGTTTTATTTGATTTGGGAAATAATTATCCACATTATTATTTTTTATCTGATGGGGACCATCTATTTATATAATTGTACCATTCATTTTACTTTTTTGGATTTACCCAATGTTCATCAGTGGTCTCTCATAGTCACTTTTATGGAGTATAGGGTTTCTTACTCTGTGACTGTTTGTTTTCATTTTGTCCATTTCTTTTAAATAAGCTCAGCTTGGTCACTGCTATATCCCAATCAAAACTCTCACCTTGCCAGTTTCTAATGTTATCTTGGAAACTATTTTTTTTCAAATTCACTTTATCTCTTTTCATTCTTTCTCTCTTCCATCTATGTCTGCTCCATCAAAAATATCCCATACCACTGTTTGCCAAGTATTACATATTTAACCTTTGAACTTTATTTTCCTTATTGGTAATAAGAAATGATAATAATGATCTAAAAATACAGTTTTCAAATTTAAACGAGAGTATGTGGACCACATGAAACACAGTATGCCATCAGCAAACACATCTCTCTTCCCCCAAATCCCCGCCTGAAAGGGGACACCCCTTTCCTCTTATAGTGAAGGAGGAGTTTGCATCCATACAAACACAGCATCCAGTGACCAAGCATCTCCTTTTCTGTTGAGCTTGATTTTCTCTGAAACACATGCTTATGGAAAAGGTACAGTCATAACTTTTTATTTTACTATTTTGAGAATAGAAACTAATAAACCTAAGTAGATGACAAGCCCCGAATATAGAGGTGAGAAATGTAAATTCTATGGGCAGAAAACATTTTGAATGAATGTTTGAAGTCATTTGTCAAATTAGATGGATAATGATTTGATTGACCATCATTCATTTGTTTTATGAATATCTAATACAATTAAATAAAATATCAAGTACTTCATGAGATTTTCTCAATAACATTTTCAAATGGTTTACTTCTACATTTATGCATGTACTAGCTTATGGTTTCTGAATAAAAGAATAAATAAAACTTAACATTTTAGTCCTGTAACATTTGAAAGATTGATCAATATCTTCTAAATATTACTTTGAGTATACTTTATTTTGATTACCAAATGCTATTTATAGTTTGTATATGTTTTCTTATAAAAACTTAAATATTGGGGCTGGAGTTGTGGCTTATTTGTGGAGCACTTGTCTAGCATGTGTGAGGCACTAGGTTCAATCCTCAGCACTGCATATAATTAAATGAATAAAATAAAATAAATCAACAACTAAAAATATTTAAAAAATTAAATGTTCTTAATTTTAGATATTATTTATACAATTGCAAAATTATCTTGAAATAATTTAATATGAAATGAAGCTAACTGATATTTCACAGAAAATTGACACTATAATCTGTGCAAAAATAATTTTTCATTGAAGAATAATTTTCAACCTGCATCAATCAGAAAAATTCTTTGCATTTCTTATTTCCTTTGAAAATATTGATTGATAGCTTAGCCAATAATTAAAGCAAATATTTTTAATAACTGATACATTTAACTGGTTGGCTTTTTATTATGTGACAAATAAAACTAAATGCACATTCATTCAATCATTCACTCTATGAACACCAAAAACGTAGGGTATTTTTTTTTCTATTTTTCTTTGTTATATTAGTGGACTGCCTGATGTTTTCGCATATCATTTTATAACATTATATGAGAAAAAAATTCAAAACAATTCTTTACCACTTTCCTGGTACATTTTCATAAAATTATTTTAAATTTGCCCTATTATTTTTTTCAATTAAAAGAAATTCTTAAAATACTCCTGTTTTAATATTGATAATTCAGTCTCTTTATATATACATATGTGTGTGTGTGTGTGTGTATATATATATATATATATATATATATATATATATATGTCACATTTTGAATTGGCACCATTTTTTAAATCTTATAATAATCAGAACACTTTAAATATATCATTTTCTAGGTAGTGACAATTCATTTTATTTCTCCACAAAAGAAGCATTAATCCCTATTAGTTCAAGTGTGCTGACATATTTAAGGCCTCTTTCCCTTCATTTAACTGTTGCATCTAGCTGGAGCAAGAATGATGGCAAAGATCTTGACCTTGGAACACTGGTTGGATCAAAGGATTCAAGTGGATGATTGAAGTTGTGGCTGGATTTAAGTGGGGGCCAAACAACGTGGGGATAAATGCTGCAGGGGGCAGGGGCTGAAGTGCTATGTGAGATGGGTGAAAGGGGGCAGCTGTGACTAAATGCAGGGGGTGACCTGCTAAGAAAGTGGGGTGTGGGGGGATAATGGTTGGAGCCAGAGTTGAGAATGAGATAGGAGTAAAGTGTGGCTGTGAAAGAGGATGCAGATGAGCTATAGGGAGGTGACCGCTGTGGGAACTTATGGACGCAGAAACAGCGAAATGCTGGAGGAACGTGTGGTGGATGGTGGTGATGGAAGCGTGCTGGTGGACTGGAACCGTCTGTACAGCCGAGGCCGGAGAGAAGGCATTGGGCCCAGGAGCAGGCAAAACTCGAAGATGCTTTGACAGGAGCTGTTTCTGCATATGCTGCTGGGCTTGCAGCTGTAGAAGCTTATATTTATCTATTTCATCAGGAGAAAATGTAATGGGCTGTTGAATTAAAGGGGGAGAGAGAGATTTATGACACTCTTCTAATTCATCTTCCAATCTGTCATGTTTCTGCATAGTTCTGTCATAGTAAGTGTTTATGTTCCCCTCTACATGATTCATATGCATGCTTACATCCTGTACGTCTAGATTTATTTGGTCCTCTTTGGTCTCCATTGAATCAGTTATACCAGTATATCTACTAGACAGAAAAGCACCAGGGAAATCATTTGGTACTGGGTCACAGTTTGGAATAAAAGGTTGGACTTCACTAATTAAAGAGTGTGATTGTTCTTTTGTTGTGGGGTTCTTCTTTCTGTTTGGTGACTGAGAATCTGCTACCACATGAATTATACCTCGAGTTAGATGGTTATCACAATCAGTGTCTTCGAAAACAGTAAAATCATTTGTCTGTGAACCTTTGACTTTGTCTTTCTCGCTAGTCCTTTGTACTGCATTGCCTTCTTCATTTCTTCTTTTTCTTGTGTATTGTCTTTTTTCAGACAAAGGCGATATCGGTCTGTTACTGCCGGGTGACACGAGTTGAATTGTGCACTGGATTTCTGAATGAGCCTGTGATTCATTTTTATAGCTGTTTGAAGAAACTTCAAAGTTTGTTGATTGTTCCTGAAACCTCTTGGTCTGTACTCTTTCTAAAAGGCTTTTGGCTGTCAGGGGGCTCCTTTCTCCTTCTCTAATGTTCAACTCTGTGGTTTCTGAAGGGCCACTGGAACAGTTTCTTAGAAGGCAGCTGACAGTCCCCGAGTTACACTGGCCACGCTTCACTTTTCCCAGACCACAAATGTGAGGGCTGTCCAAAGACTCTTGACTCCTCTTGTTTTTATTTAAACAACAAATTCTCTCTCTTGAGTAAGATCCAAGTCTATTGTGCTGAAGTCCCTGGCAATTAGTTGGGTTTTCACTGTCTTCAGCACAGGAAACCTGTGAGCCAGACTCACAATGAATGATTCTCGTGGATTTTGGCCCTGAAAATTGTTGATTTTTACCCCATTTATACCTTTCTCGGCAGTGACAATGTCTATGCTTGGAGTATTTTTTATTCTTAAATGACTCCCACAATTTACAGTTCCTGTCTCTCTGTGTTTCTGACTGTAGGCAGTTGCTCTTTGTTACTTCACCAGACCAGTAGAGGCAATTGTGCCTTTTGTGTTTCTGTTTGTGCCTTTCAACTGAGCTGTCTTCTCTTTTACAAAAGTAGAGCAAATTACTACTGCTGTTACCATTGGGCCCATGACTTGAACAAATGCTTCTCAAACTGGGCATGCTGCTAAGGGATGTGTCCAAAGGGCTAGAATGTCCACTCAGAGATGACTTTGGAGGACATCTCTTATAACTTTGGTTTCCACATCCAGGAGCACTGCTGGCTGTATTGATACTGTTGCTATTCAAAATTACACTGACATCCTTCCCATAGTCACTGTGACCCCCTACTATATAAGGACTAGAATTCCAGGTGAATTGGTTTTCATTTTCAAATTCTGAATGAGGATCACAGTGAATCAGTTTATGCTTTTTGGTCCTAGAGATGTGAGGCAGACAGGATAGACCCTCATTTGCATCATTAAGAACTACTCTTCCACAGCTTTGCCAATGGGTCCTTGAAGATTCCTCGAGTTCATTATCACTGTTATTATTATTGTTGTTGTTTCCTACACAGTCCTTTAGAGGTGTATCCAGGTAAGCAGGCACTTCAGGACTTTTCAATTTCAAATTACTTGCACTAAGATTATGATCACTGTTATTTGGCTCAGAATCATCATAGCCCAAATTATATTTTCTCTGGAAATTTTCCCAATCTGGATTAGCTCTCATCATCTTTGGTTTCAGAGACTGATTCTCTTCTAGGATCAATTTTTGTTGGTCTTTGATTAAACCTGAGACGTGGCTCTCTATTTTTGTCTTCATTTCCAAGGACTCCTTGCCCAGTTTTGTTTTTAAATCCTCTGGATTATGGCCATCTTTCATGTTCCGAGAGAGTTTAAAATCAAAATATAATGGGTTGCAACCGTAAGAGATACAGGGCTCTGTTTTTGTAAAGAGCAGAAGTTCCACAGGCCACTGGAGAGTGGTGTGGCCATCTTTGCTTTGCACATGGAGAAAAGGCAGTGGTTTGGATGTCATATCATGGGGATACCCCTCTTTCAGAAGTCTTTGCATATCTTTGCTAACTCTTTCTGTTTCTTCTGAAGATTTGTCTAGGTTCTGCATTCTGGAATTGGGATTCAAACACAGTGTACTCTTTTGTTCACTTGACTCTGGTGATGAAAACTTATCCAGACATTTGAATACCTTGGCATCACTGTGCTTGTACATGTTTGGTGGGTTGGAGGAAGCATGTGCTTGGCAGGGGTAATTAATGCAGTTTCCAGAAGTATTCTTCAATGTATTTCTAGTTCCTTTCTCTTTACTGGAAGGAGGAAAATCTACATCTGAAAGACTGAAGTTAGATTTAGAGAAAGAAGCCTGAATGCCAATTGAATTTTCTATTGTCTCATCAATGGAGTCATTTTTCTCTTGCAAAATTTTAGAGCTCAGGGAGAAGGTGTTGTGTAAAACACTCTCCAGATGGCTTGGTGAGATGTGTGCTTCTTTTTCTTTAGAGGGGTGTGTATCCTCTTTTGCAAGCCTAAAGCACTTGCATTTCTCCACTGTTTGTTTTGGTTTAGTGGTGGGTGACTTGTTACTATCATGGCTTTCTTCTGTGTTCTCACTGAAAACTGATGCGGAAGATTCTAATTTTAGATGCACTTTTTTTGAAAAAGAAAATGATACTCCTGTCCTGTGATTTGTATTGCTGAGATCTGATGATGTCTGTGGTATCCGATTTCCAAACAAACAAAGTCTGTCCGGTTGTAATTGGTGTCGACTTGGTATGGGAAACCGCTGTTTATCAGAGGTACTTCTGGGGAGATTCTTTCCCTTTAGGAGAAGTGTACTCTTCATGCATGATACTTTTCTCCCATTCTTAACTGGGAAAATTCCCTGCTGGAGTTGCTTTTCTATGGCCATCCTGGGGGCTTTGAATGCTGGTCCACTTCCAGAAACACTGTAAATACAATAAATATTTAAATGATTAAGACATTAGATTTGGAATTGTAGCCATATGTGAACATTTCATGGTGTTTCTATGATGAATGATTCCACCACTTATGAGCTAACTACATCTAACCATTTATCATGCTTGTACAAGTCAGTATAAGAGTTCTATAGGGGCTATTTCTAAATTGTTTTATTTAAGTGTAGTATTTTAAAATTAGTAAAAGGCAATAGCAAGTGAATATTTTATACTAGCACTGCAAAAGAAAATAAAGTGTTGTGTTTCCAACATACTATATATCTTCTAGAATTGACTGACTCTTTGGAACACAGATTTAACATATTTCATAAGAATTTTCCAATCAATGTATTCACATTAAGAAATTAAATAGGATTGAGACAACTTTGAAAGTATAAAAATAGTTCTTGGGCTGGGGTTGTAGCTCAGTGGTAGAGCGCTTGCCTAGCATGTGTGAGGCACTCGATTCGATCCTCAACACCACATAAAAATAAATTTAAAGAAAGGTATTGTGTTCATCTACAACTTAAAAAAATTTTCTTATATTTGCTTTATATATAAGTTCTAGCCTTTTGTTATAGTTCTAAAATTGCCTTGTGCTTATTTAATTTCAAAACAAGGTAGTTAGTTCTTTCTTTATGACTTATCACTTCTTTTACTGATCAAAATAAAGACATAAGAAAGTAATGGGTATTTACAAGTTGTCTCGATATTAACAATGATTTTGAAATATTTGTTTTGCTTCTAACTGACCAATACATTTTTTTATCATCTGCGCATGTATATGATTTATCTTATAAAGGTTTTAAAAGATTATGCGTTCTACTGAACTTCATTAGTAATTCGAAGAGAAAAACAGAAATGCCAATATGTTAGATTAAAATGATTTATCCCTTTAATGTTCTACTTATAAACATTCAGCTACAAGAAAGGCTTTATGGGGGTAGGGGGAGTTGTGAATCACATCATTTAACTCATTGTTTACTTTGATGTGAGTTTCTTTTCCTTTATCTTTTTTCACTCGCTTGGAAATGTTACTGGAGATTGTGGTGTGCTCTTTGCTCTTGGGCTTTTGCCTAATCTCAGGCAACATGCAAGAAGACTTAGTGGAAAATACAGAAAACTTTATTAAAAGGGAAAGGAGAAGGGAAAAAGGGCAATCTCATGGAAGAAAGTGGATCCTCCCAGATAGGAAAGTGATGTGCACACCTTTGTTTCCCAGTTCTGTTTGGGGTCCTAAAGAAGTTTCTAGAGAGTCCAGCCTAAGTACCATGTTTTGACTGAGAGTAGGATTCCATCATAGATATTTTTTGTTTTGTTTTAATCACTTTTTAAAGTCCCTAATGCACATGATCTTACCATACATATCTGAATGGGAAACCCATGGGGGTAAGGAGGATTTTACCATTATAATGACATGCTGAAGACTGAAAGGCAACTGCGGATCACCTTAGCCTGCTCTGACAGGGGTTCTAATTGGAACTCGCTTTTCTACAGATTCTATAGTCAGTTATCTCTGCTTTTAATTATCTTGTTTTTCTGAGTCCTGGAGTCTTTGATCTGCATAAAAATCATAAAACTACCCCCCTTCCATGTGTTCTCATGGGTAGGCTGGCCCTCACAATAGCTCTCCAGGTTATTTGCTAAGGATTGTAACATATCCTATTGACTTAGCCAGAGTGGCCCTAGGTAAATTGCTTTTTATTTAAAAAAGCATATGGGCTGGGGCTGTGGCTCACCGTAGATCACTCGCCTAGAACATGTGAGGCCCTGGGTTCGATCCTCAGCACCATGTGTAAATAAAGGTATTGTGTACAGCTACAACTAAAAGTAAAATAAATGTTAAAAAAAAAGCATGTAATGTGGGGGATGGCAACACATTATCCTCTTGACTTCTTATTCCTACTGCTCATGTCTAATTGCTACCTGTCAGAAACACCTATGGTTGTTTTTATCTATTTTGGATTTTTATTACATTTTTATCTAGTTATTTGTTTCTAGAATATAAAGAATTAAAATAGCATGCAACACTTATGTTATTATGATACTACATTAGAGAAGTGTGGAGTCCTTCTCTGCAAAATTCTTTGTTGTTGGCTTCACCTATGACTATTTGGTCAATCAGTATAGACATGTATAGTCACATTCCTTTTGTCTACTAAATTTTATGTACTTTGCTTCATTGTCTTTATATGTTAATATTAAATGCATTTTAATTAGCCATTAATTTTATAATGTATCAGTTATTCATTAGTATGATTTTATAATTTTTATTTTTTATTTGTTTAAAATATATTTATTGTAGTTGCTTAACATATGATATATATTCTTCACGTTTTTTAGTAATAGCTGCATGTTGATTTCTTTGGTTAGTTTTTACTATTATTCCTTTATTACTTTCAGTTTAACTTCGTACTGTGGTGTCTCTGGATATTGTTTTATTCTTGTCCTTATTTCTTGTACTGGAGATTTTGGTAAAATTATTGACTTTCCTGAATATATCCTTTAGGTCTTATGTTTTATTTTGATATTTTTCTGCCTTAGTCTTTTGCTCTCGTTCAGGGAGAATTTCTCATATTTAATTTTAATTTAACTGACTCTGTTTCTTAAAATATTACAATCTGCTGTTATTGTGTCCATATGAATTTTAACTTACAAGCAACAATTTTAGTCATCATTTAGTTTTCAATGATTCCAGACTTTGTCTCTTCTCATGAATTAATGACTATAGCTTTAGAGTCAAATTGTTCCCCTGAATCTTGTAGAAAATTAAATTTAGAAATTTTCTATGACTGAATTCTGTTCCTTATAGCAACTGTCTCACAATGAAAACTATCTTCTTACTCATTACAATATTCTCCTTTTGTTGAATCTCTTCATGATCTTTAGAAAGGTGATTTTAGGCATACCTCATATGGAGAATTTGGAGGAACATTCTAAGACACTGTATGGGGTACTGAATATCTTTTCCAGCATGAAGAAAAGTGGAAAACTCAGAGTTTTACTGTAGTGTTGCTGATATTTTAAAATACCTGTAGCCTGGGGACAGAAGTGAAGTGAACGAAGGATAAGCAGCTAGTGTAGGTAGATGATGGGGTCAGATTGGGAAGATGGGGAATGGTTCCAAAGGAAAAGAAATAAAATGCTAACACCTTCAGGACACTTTCCCTCTTCCTCACCTGTTGCCACGGTTACCTGCCTCCAGGGAACTGTTCCTCTCAACTAGGAATTGTTAATGAAGTACCTCCTGGGTGGTTCCCTTCCTGCCAAAAGGGCTGGAAGGGGCACTTGTGGAAGGCTTCTTTACCAGCTTTTGGTCACATAAACAAGATAAGGGAAAGAGGGGACATGAGAGAAAGGATGAAAGGGACAGGACCCCCCACACACACACCCCAGATGCCAGCTCTGGATCCCCTTCTTTCCCCTGAGGAGAAGTCTGTCTCTGTCCTGTCCTTTAAATAAAACTTCTTTTCTCTGCTTGCCTTGGTGTTTCTCAGGTGTTCAGACTTCCACACCATGAAATGGGACTCAGATCAGATTGGATTCTCAACACTAGTATCAGAAGCATAAGGTTCAGAAATAGCTGCAGTCCTGAACTTTGTCTTGGTCCCACAGACTCTTTTCCATATTTTTCAGCCACACTTTGGTGTAAGAATTATGCTTCTGAATTAAGAAGTCACTTCCTCCAGGAATTTAGGGCAATGTGATGTTATTGGTACTCTACTGGGCAGAAATGAGATCACAATATGTGCATTGTCATTTTTCTTTCTGAGATTCCATTATGATACAGATATTTCACTGCTTCTATTTTATACTGTAAATACATACTTTGCTTAATAATATTTTTTTTTATTATCCTGGCAATGTTTTGTGCATCTTCTTGCTTTGATATATGTTAATCTAAATATTCTTTCCTGATGGCTGTTTTATTTTACTATTTATCTCTCTAAAGTGCAAGCTTCTTCCTCTTACATGCTTTTAAAAATTTTAAACCTCTTTATTTTATTTTATTTTTTTGTTATGCTTTGCTCTTAGATTCTGGTCCTTAATTTTTGTTTTCATTTAAGAATCCAATTTGCATATATGATTATAGATTTTTGACAAATTTTCATGTTTTATCCTCACTGTTAATCTATTACAATCTATTATAATCTCATTTTCATGCTTTAATTTTTTTTGATTTGTTGATTTATAAACTTTAATTTTCTTTATTGTAAATCAAATTTATTTTTATTATTTTGGAAAATCCTAATTTTCTACCCTCATGGTAGAAATTTTAAATTCTGTTATTCTAATACAAGTTTATATATTGTAATATTATTAAAGCTTTAACTTTTTTTCAGTTTTATTGAAGTATAATTAAGAAATAAAAATTGTATTTATTTCAGGTGTATGACACAATGATTTGATATATGTATCCATTGTTAAATTATTACCACAATGAAATTAATTGACATCTATTATCATGTACAATTACAGTGGTATAGATGTAGGGGAGTTAGGACACTTAGGATCCACTATTCTGGCAAATTTCAAGTAAACAATATAGTATTATTAACTATAGTCACCAGTCTCCACATTATATCCTTAGAAATTATATCTGAAAACTTGTGTGCTTTAACTAAGACCTCCCCATTTCCCTTATTCTCTAGCATCTGGCAACCATGCTCTGTAAAGCTTTAATTTTTGAAGTTATTTCCTCATTATTTATTTCATTCTCTTCTTTAAAGCTTCTTTGGTTTTTCTTTGTGTTTTTAACCTAATTATTTTTATTCATAATAGCTAGTCAGAAAGCAACTATAGAGGTAATCCTTTAAATCTTATTAATGGATTATCCATTCTAATAATTCCCTCAAAATTCTAATACTAAGCACATTAAATAAATGTACAATTTAGTTCTCTTCTGTACAAAAAGAATTATTTTCAAACAGGAAATAAAAATTATTAAAACAACATGATTTCTTTAAGGGTATTATTTTCTAATGTCCCATGTTATTCAGCGCTTATAAAAGGACCTTCATAGTCTCAGAATCATCAGTACAAAAATTTGTAAATGTTGCAAGAATCTCCATATCAAGGTATACTCTTCCTAGGCTTAAACACCTATTACAAATTTAGACACAAAGAGTGAATATCTACTTTTCTATATAATGTCTAGTCTTGCTGAGGCTCCTGGTTGAATGAAACTATCAACAGAAGTTGATTGCCCTATATACAACCCATTACCAGTTTTCCACCACCATTTACCATCAATCTGATCCAAATATTTTTACTCTGGCTAAGTTTGCCTTTCTTCCCCAAGGCATCATACAAGAAGTTTGTTATCTGGATCATCCTACTCAGAAGCCCTCATTATGAGGATAAAGGACAAAGAAGAGTAGACTAGGAGAAGGGCAATATAAATTATATTTTTCTTGTTTTTTTCATTTTTAATTTGATTTGTTAATTAAGTTACCAAAAAGGAAATATTTAATAATTTTACTAAGGGATTTCCCTGAGGTCATGAAATTGTTTAAGATAGAGTAATTGGCTAGAGGGCAGGTAATAAATAATATCAAACAAGAAATAATTTTCCTGGTTTCAAGTCCTGTGTGTAGAAATTTCATCTTTTTCCTAAGAGTATGAACACCTTGCCACATACAGAGCCTGCCAAGTCTACAGAGGATACCAACCCACATGTGTTTAAGCTTGTGTTTGTAGTAAATGAGGTTTCCAGAAGGACATCTGAAACTTAATAGAGTGAATGTTTTAATTTGGAGTACCTTAATGGGTAGCTCAGGCAAAGTTAGAAATTCAAATAATACATGATTATTATTATCATCAACATCAACCATCAACTTCCTCATCCCATTCCCATCACCATTATCATCCTCAGGGCTCTTTTGAGCCTTTAAATATCCCAAAGCAAACTACAAGTGTGAGTAGAAAGGTACAAGTGAGACATCTTCCATAGTAGCAAAACAACTAAAATTATGTTTGTTAAGGTTACTCATATTTATAGTACAGCCAGGCAAATCTGGCCTAACCTAAGAGGATCTATGCTAAGGATGTTTTTCTATGATGGGATTTGCCCCATTTTTCATGATCCGACCTATTGCATCTCATTATTAATCATGTAGCAATTGGCATCTGCTCAGGATTTTTTCCTGTATCCTACCATTACCTACCAACAAGCATGTGACTCGTTCTTCTAAGTCCTATTTTCACGAAGACAATCTGATACCTTATGTTTAATATCATGAATAACATGTTGTAAGTTCCTTGTATTGGCTGGTAAAAAATTCCAGCACCAAATGTGTTTTTTGTCTCTATGATTGTTTGGGACCTTAGTGCTTCATTTTTGTATTAACCTCACTTCTGGATACATATTGTGCTTTTATTTTTTTCCTTTATACTAAATTTCTCATTTATTTTTAATCTGATTATATATTATGTTTCTCATAAAGTTAATTGAATTACTCTAAGAGTTATAAATATATGAATATATGTAAGTTGAATATTATTTCCACTCATAGTTGAGCCTAAAAAAATAAATATTGCCTTAGAATCACACTTCAAGTCTAAAATTTTACGGTATTATAATTAAGCCACTCACTCCTATTATTGTATATTGTTTTCCTTTTAAACAACAGGGGTTTAAATTCTGGCACAGAGCTATAAATTTCACAATTCACTAGGCTGCTGTCAACTGTATTAATTAGCTACATTAGTGTTATACATTATGATTCATATGAACACAAATCACAATTTACTAATTTAATTGAATTCCAGGTAACAACTTTGAAGTATTCAGTGGTTCCAAGCTTTTATAAAATGGCTATTTCTCAGCTACAAGAATGTATTAGTGTAATGCTTGTTATAATTATCAATTTAAATGCCACTGTGTGGTAAATTTAACTGCATTAATTACATCTTGTTTGTCAGCCAATAACAGTGTCATTTATTCTAGATTTAGGTGTATACAGGGGAATGTACAGAAGATATATCCCCCCCCCAAAAAAGATGCATTGTTATTTATGGATTTTAAATTATTATTAAAAAAACCCTGCATTACTGAGGAACAACATTAACTCATTTGAATCAACTTGATAAAATAAATACTAGTATATTGGAATCATTCTGGGATCATTTCATTTAAGGGTACATTAAATTAACATTGGGAAAGAAAAAAATCAGATCATAAAAGTAATTAATTTACAAGCCTTTAACTACTGGAAATATTGGCCCTCAGACATAACTGTTGAACCAAGTAGATTTTAGTTAGAGTGAACTAGATTTTTCATTGGAATTTTCCCAGAGGCAGAAGGGAACTCTGACACATCTTAGATCCTTCTAATTCTCACCATTCAGACTGCTGCCTTAACTCAGCCAGCTGATGAAGTCGTTTAAGTGCTTTTTCTTGTTTCTTCTCATCTTTCCATGACTTGGAAGCCACATTTCGAGCAAATTCCCGCTGCTTTAGTTCTTTCAGTCTCTGTAGAAAAAGAAGAAAAACAGAAAGGATACCATAAATAAGTAATATATTATTTTCAATCCACCAGGCTCCTTATTAACCCTTGTCCTGAGTGCAGAGATAAAAGGTAAAAGATAAAATAGTAGATAAATGTAGATGTCAACTAGCTTATTTTTCAAAGCTTGTCAGACTCACTAAAGAAATGTGCTGCTAGCTGGACCCCAGTCCTTGCTGAGATCATCCTGGCTACACAACTACAACCATCAGTATGTCTGTGAAAACACAAATGAGACAAACGTGAGATATACCAAGGGATATGAAGGAGGAGATTATAGGATGTGCTTTCCTCCACTCACCTGTAAAGATACTCATTAAATTCAATGGGTGGAAAAATCTTTCCATCAGTTGTTTCTGTTACCACGAAATGTTTAACTCAAAGCTCTAAATGTAATTTTAATTCACTTTTTAGGTGAAGATATGTATCAAATGCAGACTTCTATATTGTATCCAGAATGAGCAAAACTGGGTCAAGGATTTAAAGCTCCAGGATAGAGAATTTGCCTTGCTTTATTTAAATTAACCTACACTTCTTTTAATTAATCTTTTCTCTAAAACAATTGAGTTATGTGCAGAATGGATGCTGCCCATTACCTGTTTGGATTTCAACTTTAGAACCTGCCACTAAGCATGCTTAATGATATTGAATCAATTGAGAAATAGCTACAATCAAATAAGCATCTTTACATTTGAGGCTTAATCCTGAATTGGGAGTACATTTGAAGATTAATGTCTCTTAACACATGCAATGTGATTTTAAACAGTCTAAAATTTGTATCTGTTTAATCTGCTTTTAGTTCCCAAGTCAGGTTTAAAGGATGTTCCCTGGATATGGAAAAAACAACAAAGCTATCAATACCACTGGAGCAGACTCTTTTCTACAGCTAGAGCAAGGACCAAAATCTGCAATGCCCATTAGCTTTATTCTTGAAAGGGAACAAGTTCCACCTATTTACTGGAGTAGAGGCTTGTCTTATGAGCAAAGAAAGGCCTTTCAGAAATTGTCCTACACAATTTAGAAGCACCCATAAAATACAGTTTAGCTGTGTCAAAGAGAGAAGAGGGCTATTTTGAAGAACAGGAAAGGGTCATATATTTTTTCTTTTGGTTATTAATAAACACAAAATACTCTATATTTATTTGTTTGGTATTACCAGAATATTCAACTTGCTTAATCTAGGAGAGGAAATTGATCCATTGGTTCATGTAATTATTGGAATCTTGTTTGAAACTTTGGGGAACACCCATTTTGTTCATTAGCTTTCAGATTTCAGGACTACTTCTATATTTTAGCTATGGAAATGACTATGTATTTGGTTTCATTCACCCAGCAACAAATGCCGTTTGTAACATGTTAATTTCTACTATTATTCCTCTGGGGAACAGCAATGTGCAAATCAAATATTTTTCCCTTCCAGGGAGACAAAGAGATACTTTTTACAAGACAGTGTTGCTTCTTTTTTAAAATTTTTAAAATTTTTAAAATTTGTTCTTTTTAGTTATACATGACAGATAAGTATATTTTGACATATTAAGCATACATGGGGTATATATTATTATAATTAGGAACCCATTCTTGTGACTGTATATAATGTGGAGATTCACTAGGGTGTATTCATTAACATAGGAAAATTATGTCTGACTCATTTCACTCTTTCCTATTCCTATCCCTGCTCCCTTCCTTTTACTCCCCTTTGTCTAATCCACTGAACCTCTAACTGAACTTCTATTCTCCCTTTCCTCTTGTGTTTTAGCATCCACATATCTGAGAGAATGGTTGACCTTTGTTCTTTGGGATTGGCTTCTTTCACTTAGCCTGAGAGTCTCCAGATCCATCCATTTACCAGCAAAAGTCATAAAGTCATTTCTTTTTATGACTGAGTAACACTCCATTGTTTCTTAATAGGGGTGCACACAACATACTTCAGACGCATCCAGGAATAGTTAGTAGATTTGTTGTGTTGAAGGAACAGTCCAAGTTAAAATGTTGAAGGAACACAGAAACTGGAAGAGAGACTGGAACTAAAGACATCTGTTCAGATTTGCACTTGTCACTGCTCAGGTTTGCATATAGAAAACGCTCACATTCTGCCTTGAGTTTTCAGCATAGTGATCATTGCATGTGGGTGAAGAAAGTACTCCAGGTCAGAAAAATAGCCACCTAAAAAAGTTAAAGGAAGAAGTTCTGGCATCCATATAAGGCCAAAAATCATGCTGGTTCTCACCAACAAAACTGGACAACCTCACAGAATGTTCAGTACAGAAATCAGGAAAATTTGCTTCAGTAGAGAATAATTAGCTATTATTAGCACTATTTTGAGGTAACCTAAGGAACCATAAAAAAATAGGGGAAAAAAACCAACTGATTCCAAGTAACTTAGCAGAATCACAAAAGCACTCTACGGACTTTATAGCAATTAAAAAGAAGAAGAAGAAGAAGTGAGAATACAGTGGAGAAATATCTTTACATTGATAAGGGAAAAAACTATCAAAATAAAATTCTATACCAAGTGAAATCATCTTTAAAAAAAGGTAAAATAAATAAAGGTATTTTCAAACATGAAAAAGTTGAAAGACTTCATCACCTTAGATACGCACAATAGAAAATATTAATGGATGTCATCAGGCAAGAAGAAGATAAAACAAATGTATGTAGACACTAAAGGATGAACAGCAGAAGAAATGACAACTACAGAGAAAACAACATCAGATGTATTTGTTATTTTTTCAATATATTTATATTGTTTAAGCGAAAACATGAACTATGTATTTTGAGTTTTCCAATAAATTTATAAATAAAATAAATGACAACAATAAAACCAAGCCTGGGAGGGGAGGAATGACAGTGCACTGTTGAAATAGTCTTCTGCTCTAAATGAAGACATGTGATAATAATTGAAGGTGATTGTGACAAATCATGGACATATACTATAAACCCCACAGCAACCATTTAAATGGCAAAACAAGGTATTTTAGGCAATAGGACAACAAATGAGATGAAAGGAAACCATTAAAATTCATGCCATCCAAAAGAAGGAAGAAAAATTAAAAAGGAAGCTAGAACAGAGAGGACAATTATAAAATAAATAGATAGTAACTTAAATATAAACATATCAATAACCAAATTAAATATAAAGGGCCCATTCAACCAAACCCAAAGGGAGACATAAAAAGGCAAGATCTAAACATACTGGAACACTGTTCAGCCACAAAAACATGACATCTGGTTCATGTGCCACATGGATAGAACTGGAGATTATTATGTTAACTGAAATAATCCAGGCACAGAAAAACCACTAGGACATGATTTCATTTACGCTTGAAATCTGAATAGTTGGTCTCAGGTGTTGAAGGTAGAATGGTGATTGCCAGGGAGGAGGGCAGGTGTGGTAGAATAATATTGATCAAGGAATATTAAGGCAGAGCTTGATAGAGCAAGAAGCTGTGGTGTGCTGTAGCACAGTGTGGAGAGCATAGATAACATGAGCATACTGTATGTTATAAAAAGTGGAAGAAAAGATTTTGAAAGTTTTTGCAGTAAAGAAATATGATAAATACGTGAGGAGATGGCTGCCTTTAACCTGATTTGAACATAACACAATGTATGGACATATCTAAATACATCGGGATCCCATTAATATGTATAATTTTAATGCTTCTATGTAGTGATTTAAAAGATAAGTATTTTTTGCAAAAAAAGCAAGGTTAACCCTAACTACAAATACAAACTTGAAAAACAAAGACACAAAGAGTTAAAATAAAAGAATATTAAAATATAAAGCATGCTAATATGGGTCAAATAAAAAGCTAGAGGGCCTATATTACCATACAACAGAATAGATTTTAGAGTAAAGATAGATTACCAGGAATAAGGATGATTATTTTATCATGATAATGAGGCAAATTAATCAAGATAACATAACATTGATAAATTTTTATGCTTCTAATAACAGAGCATTAAAATGTGCAAAGCAAAAATTGGTAAAATGTAAGTGATGACTCTTACTATGATTGTTGATAATCTTGTTTAAAGAGAAATAAACAATTTAGAAATAAAAACATTAAGGGTATGCAGTAGGTCTACTTTTACTGAGAACAGCTCATGGCATAGATACTTTTTTAAAAAATTGGTACTTCACAATTTAAACTTCTTTCTAAACAATAGTGGGAAAGAAAATGTTATTGCACAAAGCGGGTGGTGGAAAGTAGATATGTTTTATCATTTTACAGTCTGCATAATTACAAGACAAGGGATAGTTCATACTAGAATTGCATCTTGTATTTGTTATCCATTAATTAGAAAAGTAGAAGACAGGAAAGTAAAGAAAATTAGCCAGTATAATTTTGATACAAGGATTTTGCATATTTAAGTACATTTCTGCATCTATTAAAAGATCATATCATTCTTTTCCCTTTACCTATTTGTGTCATATATAACTTCCAATGATTTTACTGTGTTAAACTTTTCATTGACAAGAGTAATGCTGTTTAGTCATAATTTATTATTATTTACAAATATTTATGAATTTATTTGCTAATATTTGTTAAGTACTTTACCTATATGTTCATTAGTGATATTAGTCTGTATTATCTTTTCTTGTACCTTTGTTGTGTCATTCCAGTACTGTTTTGGTCAATTCAGTAATGACTATAACAGGATACCATAGGCTATGGTTTACCCAATATTTATTTCTAACAGTTATGGACTCTGGGAAGTCCAAATTCAAGGTGGCTGCCTTAATTTCCTATACATGTTATTGTTACTGATTTCTAGCTTAATACCATTATGGAAATTCAACATGCTGTGAATGCTGACATTTCTTAGATAGTTATTGATAGGTGTTCTATGATGATTCAGCATATGATATACCTTAAAAAGTATATTATGTACAGTTGATAACAAAAATACTTATTCTACATTTTTTTCACTCAATATGTATAAATATCAATTATGTCATATTGGC